GAGTGGATTTGTGGTATTTGGAGTTTCTCATAGGAAAAGGTGGTCAAATCTGATGCCATGTAACTGAAGAATTTGGTTGGCAGAAGTTGTAATGCCAGGGTGTGAACTGTCGAACACAATCACCTCGAGTTGTCTCTCTGTTTAATCAGAAGATGTGGTGGAGTATACAGTTCATCCTGGAAGGTCTTTCATTCTTTGACTGGGACCAGGAACAGGAACAGATCATCAAAGAAGATGGATCTCTTAGTAGTGATGTGCACTGACAGTTTCCATGTGTCGCAAAATCGAACTGTTGGTCAACATTCTTGCTACAATACATGGAACTCGAACTACTCACCTTGTTTCAAGGTATAGTTGGTAGAGGTCTTAAACTGAACTACTCGTCAAAGAGGAAGGATAATGGTTCTCAAGTAAGATATGATACCCAAATTGATGTTATTATGTTAGTATATGAAAGTGGGATGGGAGAAAGATGGTACCACATAGTAAGATTCAGGAACCTGGGAAAAAAGGACCACCTGTGCTGAAAGAAGTTCACATTTGTCAAGGTCTAAATTGTGAGGCAAAGGACCCTATTCTTGACTTTTGAATTAATAATGTTCCCTTTGTCAAGTTAATTATGACTTTACTTTATTCTGTTCCTTTTTGTGTCGATAAGGTGCTGTTTTGTTCCAAGTCCCTTCTAACTGTATGAAGTTCTGCTATTGTGAATCTGCAGATGTGGAACTTCCTATTGCCTGTATCATACTCATTTTCCTGTTTGCACTGCAACACTATGGTACACACCGGGTTGGCTTCATTTTCGCTCCAGTTGTGATCACATGGCTCCTATGTATAAGCGTGATCGGTGTTTACAATATTATTCACTGGGAACCCACTGTATATCGAGCATTATCTCCGTATTACATGTACAAGTTCTTGAGGAAGACACAGAGAGGAGGTTGGATGTCCCTGGGAGGAATACTGTTATGCGTAACTGGTACTGTGCTCAGCAAACCATTTCTGAACCTTTTGCCTTGATCTTTGGAGTGTCTCTTACTACAAGGTGACCCTTTTGCTCTTTCAGGTTCTGAAGCAATGTTTGCTGATCTGGGGCATTTCAACCAGTTGTCAATACAGGTGAAGAAATGTCTGCTGCAAACTAACTTTTTCTGCATTCCATCCTTGAATCGGTATATGGAGAATTATTCTCTGATAAAAATTTCTTGGGCAGATTGCTTTTACATGCATGGTGTATCCAGCATTGATCCTTGCTTACATGGGACAAGCTGCTTATCTGTGTAAGCATCATAACATGGAAACTGACTACAGGATTGGATTCTATGTGTCTGTGCCAGGCAAGTTATTCTCATCAGTTCTTATCATCAGAGATGCGAACCATAGCATGATATCAGACGCAGTGCTTATTGTTAATGTTTACAATTTACCATTTCAGAGAGAATTAGGTGGCCCGTTATGGCAATTGCTATTCTTGCAGCAGTTGTGGGAAGCCAAGCTGTCATCACTGGTACATTCTCAATGATCAAGCAGTGCACTTCTCTGGGCTGCTTTCCTCGGGTGAAGATAATTCATACATCTGCTAAAGTACACGGGCAAATATACATCCCTGAGATCAATTGGATTCTGATGATACTGTGTTTAGCTGTAACCATTGGTTTCAGGAACACAAAGCACTTGGGGAATGCATCAGGTATGCCAATGTTAATATCTTTTTATTATAGACTTCAAACTACCGAATTTTCTCGGGTGAGAACTATCATCATACTAAAAGTGAGTAGTAATGGCTGTCCATCTCACATCTACTTGTTAATTTATATAGGATTGGCTGTTATAACCGTCATGCTGGTCACAACGTGCCTGATGTCCCTGGTGATAGTCTTGTGCTGGCATAAGAGCATATTTCTTGCAATTGCCTTCATTGTGTTCTTTGGAACCATTGAGGCGCTGTACTTCTCAGCTGCACTCATCAAGTTCAGGGAGGGAGCCTGGGTCCCAATAGTCCTGGCTCTCATCTTCATTTTGATAATGTGCATCTGGCACTATGGCACCATTAAGAAGTATGAGTTTGACGTTCAGAGCAAGGTCTCCATCAACTGGCTCCTTGGTCTCAGCCCGAACCTCGGTATCGTTCGTGTCCGTGGCATTGGCCTCATCCACACCGAGCTCGAAACCGGCATCCCAGCAATCTTCTCGCATTTTGTCACCAACTTACCTGCCTTTCACCAGGTAGCCTCAATTCTTCTTATCCAATCGATAATTCCATGTCCAAACTTCAGACATGGATTCAGAAGTACGTTTACCCTGCCATTAAGTATTGACCATTGTTGGTCATGACCAGGTACTCATATTTATGTGCATCAAGAACGTGCCAATACCACATGTCCGGCCTGAAGAGCGGTTCCTCGTTGGAAGGATCGGCCCGAAGCAGTACAGAATCTACCGGTGCATCGTCAGGTACGGTTACCACGACTTCCACAAGGACGACATTGAGTTCGAGAAGGAGCTAGTGTGCAGCGTCGCGGAGTTCATCCGGTCAGGGTCGTCCAAGTTGAACGGCATGCCCGTGGAGTTCGACGAAGAGGAGCAGCACATGGCGGTCGTCCGCTCCAACAGCATCCGCATGCTCGAGGAAGAGGCCACCACAGTGGAGAAGACCGTCGGCCCGTCGCAGGCCAGCCAGGAGATACAGTCACCGTCGCCGTCGCCGGCCCCGGTGGTTGTCCCCAAGAAGCGGGTGCGGTTCGTGCTGCCGGCAGCGAGCCCGAAGCCGAACGCCGGCGTGCAGGAGGAGCTGCAGGAGCTGTCCGACGCGCGGGAGGCTGGCATGGTGTTCATCCTGGGTCACTCGCACGTGAAGGCCAAGAGCGGGTCCAGCTTCCTCCGGCGGTTCGTGATCAACTTCTGCTACGACTTCCTGCGGAGGAACAGCCGGGGACCCAACTACGCCGTCTCCATCCCGCACGCCTCCACGCTGGAGGTGGGCATGATGTACTATATCTGATCTGACTGAACCCCTGAAACTCTGATGAGAGGGAGAAATATAGGAACAGGAAAAGATAAGAGGAAATGAAACAAAAAAAAGTTTTCAGCTGTATATGCTAGATTGTAAGTAACTGCTGGTGAGTTCCGTTGTAAATGCAGCTTGATTTCCTTATTAGGCCTTCAGCTTCTGTCGTAAATAGGACTACCAAAATTTCTTCTTTTTTCGGTGGAGAAAACTTCTTATGAGATCTGCCATCGCCAAAACATCAAATGAATCTCAAGTTCTCAATATTATAAGATCAGACAAGAATCAGAAGAGTGCCATTTCCAATTCTGTCACGCCATGGGCTCTGCTGCCCTGGCACGAATGTTGAAGTCCCTGTGCATCACCGGGCACCTGTCCAAGGCCGTGAGCCTGCTGTGCCAGAGTCCCGTGTGCCCCGGCGCTGGAACCTACGCGCTTCTGCTGCAAGAATGCGTGAACCGGAGGGACGCGAGGCTCGGCAAGAGGATCCACACGCGGATGGTCGCCACCGGGTTCCGCTGCAGCGCGTACATCACCACCAAGCTGCTCATCTTCTACGCCAAGATGGGGGACCTCGGCTGCGCGCAGAAACTGTTCGACGGAATGCCGCAGCGGAGCGTCGTCGCGTGGAACGCCATGATCTCCGGGTGCGCGCGCGGCAGCGCGGAGGCACAGGAGAGGGCGGTGGAGCTGTTCGGCGCGATGCGGGCGGAAGGGCTGGCGCCGGACCAGTTCACGTTCGCGTCGGTACTGTGCGCCTGCGCGTGGCTGGCCGCGCTGGGCCACAGCCGCCGCGTGCACGGCGTCGCGGTCAAGTCCGACGTGGGCGGCAATGTCTTCGCCAACAGCGCGCTCGTGGACAAGTACCTCAAGTGCAGCTGCCCCGAGGACGCGCACCGCGTGTTCGCGGCCGCGCCGGAGCGGAACGTCACTATGTGGACCGCGGTCATCTCCGGGCACGGGCAGCAGGGGCGCGTCGCCGAGGCGCTGGCGCTCTTCGACCGGATGGCGGCGGATGGGCTCCGGCCCAACGACGTGACGTTCCTCGCCGTGCTCTCGGCGTGCGCGCACGGCGGGCTCGTGGACGAGGGATTGAGACGCTTCTCCTCTATGTCGTCGGACTACGGCCTCACGCCAAGGGGCCCGCACTATGCGGCGGTGGTCGACATGCTCGCCAGGGTCGGCAGACTACACGACGCCTACGAGCTCGTCAAGAACCTGCCGGACTGCCAGGAGCACTCCGTGGTCTGGGGAGCCATTCTGGGCGCCTGCAGAAAGCACGGTGGAGACGTGGAGCTTGTCGAGCTCGCGGTGCGGTGGTTCGTCCGGCTGCAGCCTGGAAACGCCGGGAAGTACCTGGTCCTGGCCAACACGTACGCTGCCCGCGAGATGTGGGATAGCGTGGCCGGCGCGCACGAGGCCATGAGGGCGCTCGGCTTAAAGAAGGATCGTGCCTGGAGCTCCGTTGAAGTGCAGGGCAAGAAGCACATCTTCCTCGTCGGGGACACGTACCATGACGAATACTCGGCAATATATGAGGTCTGCAATGCACTGGCCTCCGCCGTTGCGGAGCAATCCGTGCGACCAATGGATGGTGTCAGTTATTGTTGATCGCTATGCAATGGTCTCGTGGTGACTGCTGCAATTCAGAATGGAATTGCCTCGCTTCTCTGGCAAAAACATCCTGCACAGAAATGTCATCTAGTATGATCTGAATACCTCATTCTCGTCTGAGCAGTTTTGGTCCAAAAGTTTCCACGGCTCATTCTTGTCATCACCAATCTCATGGGCACAGCACATTCCTTCCACAAACACATACCTATTTATATCTATGGCTTGTCTGGCAGTGCCTTTACACTGTATTTTTTTTCTGACAACATTACATACAAGAGAAGGTTTGCTTGATCTTATCTATCAACTGCTTATGTACCATGAAACTGGAAGGAGTTGAAGACAATCATGAATCAAGATGGGTAGCCTCAGAATGATTCTGCTATGAGTGGGTGACGAATGTTCCAACATAGCCTATGCCAACAATGAAGAAAGCTATGGATTGGAGGAATAGGAATATGTAGTAGTGGTTGTTCCCAAATGCAATGTCATAGCATCCACAAAACAAGAGGTAAGCTGCAATACCAAGCTCCAGAATATGCAACCTGATTCCACATTAAAGTTTAGCCGTGAGTATAAATATATGAATCATTTGCCCAAAAAAATAGAAAAGACTCAGAAAGTACGATTCTTCGTTATGTACCTATCTCCTATCCTTATGCGGGGCTTCTTGCTTGCCTTGCCTGGCATTTTCATCCTCAGGGCATCACCAAGTTTTTCTGTCACCACCCATTCGTTCACCCTGCCTGCCTCCAATAGGCCGATGAAAGTGGCCTTTGTTCTATGCAATGACATCACGTTCTCAAAGAGGATCCAGAAGACAATTAAGTGAACTGACCTGCCCCATCCAATGGTTTTGATGTTAATCTTTAGGTATATATATCAGATTTGAAATGCAAAAATGATGATGCTTAAAACCGGGACCTTCAGAGTGGAGGATAAGGCATTGTTGATTCTTATTACTTCAATTAGATGATTACAACACAAAGTTAGAAAAGATTTGGTACCTTGGAGTGCCAACAGCATTGAGAAGGGTTATTATGGTTGGGATATAGACAGAACCCCACTTTGGTATTTCAACATCAGGAACCAAGACCGTCGCGGGGATAACAATGCAGTAAAACACAAACGTCACAATGTGTGCTATGATCTTGCGCACAAGGAAGAAGTTGTAGATGACATGGATTTTCTTCCAAAGTGTCACTTTCTGCACCAAGGAAAATCGATAACTTGTTAGAAACAAGTCCTGGCTGTATTTAAAAAAAAAGTATATTATTTTGAAAAAGGCTTGGTGCAAGGCACCTTGTTTCTGACGATCTCCATCAACATTTTCCTAAACAAGTTTGCTGGTCCACATGACCATCTGTGCTGCTGATATCGGTACGCTTTGAGTGTACTTGGGAGCTCATTTTTCACCTAAACATACATTTCTTCTGGGTTAATTGCATGTTTAGAAGGATTGTAACACCAAGAGCAGTGAAAACGAATGCAGTTTATGTGACATGAATACTGATGCATTTTACCATGAGATCACCAAGGAATACAAAATTCCATCCTTTGAGGCTAGCTCGGACTGCCAGATCCATGTCCTCCACCGTGGTCCTGTCCTTCCATCCTCCTGCCTCGTTCAAAGCGGATATGCGCCATACACCAGCAGTTCCTGTCGAGAATATATTTTGAATGGTAAGAACAACGATGCTTAAAACCAGTTCCTCTCTTGTGTGTGTACTAGTATCTATTCAGTAACCTTGACAAGGGGGAGTTGGTCATTCAGCTGAGCTGTCATAACTGTCACTCGTAATTCAGGGTCACTGTGTGTTATGCTATTATTTTGCCCATGGGTAGTATAGGATGGTTGCAATTTCATATGACTTTGAGATGTGGTACATACATGGCCCCTTTGTTTTACTTTATAAAAAGACTATGAAACAGAGTGTCTCATTATTATGAACTGAAACACGTGGTAGAAAAAGGAAAAGGCTGAGGGGCAGAATCATGGAAACGAGAAAGCAGGACAACAGAAGAGTTAACGCCCCACCCCACGAGAGAATCCGCCATATGAAGAGCGTGAGAGTGAGGTTGAAAGAGACGGACGGAGCTTACCGTTGAAGCCGAAGAAGGCGTAGGTGGAGGAGCCGGCCTCCTGCTCCACTGTGAAGTGGTAATCCAGGGACATCTCCTGCATCCTCGTCATCAGGCATTCATCTGCGTTCACTGCTCACGAAAGACCCAGCAACAGCAGCAGCAGACATGTTATGTAAACATGCACAAGAATCTCTAGCAAATTAAAGCAAGTTGGAGTACTGCCAGCCCAAAACATCCTTCCATCAATGGGGGATAAGGATCATTTACGCAGTTGACAGTCCACACAGACTTTACTGATACGCACATGTTTTCGCCTATATACCCATCAGTCCAGACAGCCTTGACTGATATGTGCTTATGCACATAGCTCCAGAGATGGAGATGTTCATTGTTCAGGCTAATATTATCACCACACCAACATGACAGGTGACAGCGTATTTGTTGCTGAGATCCCGAAAGACCGGAGCTTTTAGATATCTAGGGCTTGTTTGCTTGAACTTATCAGTCGACTTATCAGCTAGAATCTATAGTAATTTTTTTCTTATGACAAATCAGCTTCTGTCGACTTTAATAGCAGGAAGTGGACTCGTGTACGGGCGGCTGGAGTGCTGGACCGCGTCCGCGTGCGTTTATGATGGCAAAGCAGGTAGGTGTAGGTTTCGTTGGAAGTTGCAGACGGGTAGTTGAGGCTGGATGTCTGGAACTGAGACCGAGACCGTGACCTGTGGTGTGGTAGCTGGTGCTGCGTGTCTAGCTGACGCTCGCTCTGTGCAGGCTCCTCACGTCGCGCTGCTGCTGCCACCCATGGAGTGATCCCGAAGCTGAAGACGGGCTTTTAGATATCTGCTTGTGGCCTCTTTACGGTCAGGAATGGAGTGCTGGACCGCATATGTGCTGTACAAGGCACATCGGTGGCTGACGGAGACCGACCGCGTGGCCACGGCGTAAGAAGACACCACACCACAGGGTTGAAAGCACTGGACTAAGCTAGCTAGCCAACTCGAGGCTGCAGCAGTAGCCAATAGTAACTCGGGCACTGCTGGCTGTACGCCGTGTACGTGCTAGAGAGGGACCGGGAGATGCATCATTGCTGCATGTATGTGGAGGACCCGGTGGTGGGCCTGTGACTGTGAGTGACAGGGATACTTTGACCCTGAGGCCTGGGCCCAGCACCGACACTTTGCATTTGCCGATTTGCGTTGCCTTCTTCATGTCCATGGAGGCATGGACTGGGCAGTTGCTGGAGAAGAAGCAGAGGGCGGGCAGACGTGCAGTCATAACGACGACGTTAGGAGCAGCAGTACGTACCGAAGTTCCAGCGCGCCTGGACGAGCGCGAGGTCGGGGTTGTGGAGGAGGAAGGGCACGGTGCGGCACAGGAAGTCCGGCTCCGGCTGGAAGTCGGCGTCGAAGATTGCCACCACGTCGCAGCCGCGGACGTAGGCGCGCTTCATGCCCTCCCGGAGCGCGCCGGCCTTGTACCCGCGCCGGCTGTCCCGGACCTCGTACTTGACGTTCACGCCCTTGCTCGCCCACCGCGCGCACTCCGCCCGAACCAGCTCCTGTGCATGGTCCATCATCGGTATGCATGCATGCATGTAGTACAATCTTTACTAATATAAGCATGCATTCTGCTAACATGCATGCGCGTGATGGCAGGTGCTGCACGCAGTTGCAACTGTCACGTACTGACAGAGCGGCTCGATCGCGCAGTTGATTCCTGCTGGCAGTGCGACACTGCCACCGTCACAATTGAACTGGCAGAAAGGTAGAAGTGGGTAGGTGCCAAGTACTACGATCAGGATCGTCAGGAATAGGAACACGTATGGCAAGTACATGCTGGAGCATTTAATCATTTACTAATATAAACATGCATGAACGACCGGTGTTGCGTTCCACGCCTCGATCGATCGGCTGGTTCGATCACGTACCTTGATGACGGGATCGGTGGAGTCGTCCAGCACCTGCACGATGATCCGGTCCGACGGCCACGACAGCCCGCACGCCGCCCCGATCGACACCTGGTACACCTGCACGTCCACGCACCGCCATGCAACCACCACACACGTACAGTTAGTTTGTACATGTACTCCTCCCTAGCTTAAACGCTTCGCAAGACCAGAGCCAACGCCGGCGGCGCGGCATCCGGCATGCAGGTGCAGCTACTACAGAGGCCGGCCCATGGCACGGAGGCGGCGTTCACTCACCGCGCGCTCGTTGTACATGGGGATCTGGACGAGCACCATGGGGTAGGCGACCACGTCGCTGCCGGCCTCGAGGTCGCCGCCGTCGCGGACGATGGGCTCCCACCGGTACCGCCGCTCGGGCCGCCGCCCGAGCAGGCGCGACGCCAGGACCACCACGGCCATGTAAACCTTCTCCGCGAACAGCATCACGGACATGGCCAGGCACAGCGCCACCGACAGCCGCAGCAGCGGCACCACCACCGGGGACTTGACCTGCTGCCACAGCGCCGCGACGACGTCGCTGCCGGAGTAGCCCGCCGCAGGCACCGTCGTCCCCGGCCACTCCGGCGCCGCCACACCGGCCATTGTAGTAACTATTATTTATGTCTCCTCGATCTCCTCCGCTCCGAGATAACAGAGCTGGCAGCAGGCGTGCACGGCACCTCGCAATGCGGGGGTGGCCGGGCGGCGGGAACGCAGCGCCGCCGGGGGTGGTGCCGGTGCCTGACTGCCTGCTCGACTGCTCGTGCAGGGAGAATAAAAGGGTGAGGAAACGGGAGGGTGGTGGGCTTTGTCGGCTCCTCCCGCAGGGTGCACCAGACGGCGAAGCAGCGAGGGCAGATTTAACGGCGGGGCAGGGGTGACCCCGTTATTGCCGGGGAGCGGGGACGGACGCGCCGCCGGGTGTCGGTGGCCGCTGGCAGCTGGCAGGTTGTTTTAACCGTAGGTGATTTGCTTGGCTGTGCCTGCGGTAGATACAGGTTGCTGATACATTTTGGATTTACAAATACTCCATCGACCTGTTTTCACACAGCACATGCGAATCCATCCACCTGGTTTGTGTTTTCACCGGGCCATTCTATTATCTTCGTACCAGCTGGTTTCTCGGATTGAAAACATAGGTCATACTTTGAGTAACAATGACCATAAATATATAATTTTTAAATGGAAACTTTTTAAAATTATAAAAAGTTTTTTTTTTCTAACAAATCGAATAATACAAGTCTTGTGTTACCACTCTGTATATAATTTAGTGAATTCATAGTCAAAGGCAAAACAAAATTTATGATCCCAGGAAGTACTAGATGTACCATGAAAAGATTTTTGGGGTTTTGTTATGCCACGCCGTTGCCTTTGGGATGTGCTTTGTGGTTAAAGTTGTGTTGTCTGAAACTTCTTTCTCGGCGAATTACCACATCCATACATCAATTAGGATGTCTTATTTATATTTCTCCAGACTGTTTCTATTGTATATGGTTTAATTTTATAGAGCTACACCATACATAATATCTATAATTTGAAAATATTACTATAGTTGATTTATATTAGTTATGAACGTGCCTAGAGTAGTTTTCATGTACTTAGAAAAAAAAAAGCTAATCAAGTTTTCGATGCACATGTGGCCATTTCTATTCATCAGGGACAGTTGTAAAAAATTTTTTTTCAGCTTCTTAGTGCTTCTATAGGAAACGTTATTTTAAATATTCCAAATTTGTACATATTCCAACAAGAGGAAAAAAACAAAAAACGCCTACAAAATGGAGTGAGTTTATTGTCCGCAGGGTGTAGTTTTGGCTGGAGTATAATGGGTGGATAGATCTGGATTCTGGATCCATCTTTCCTTTTTATGGCCTCGACAACCCTTGATGAGATGTGATATTAATAAGGGCACTCTCATAAGAAATTGATGAGGGTTTCTATCTATATTAAATGACTTGCTACATAAGCAATATGCTGAAATGACAGCCTAATTAATGAGAAAATAGAGAAAAATAGAGAAAATTGTTTCTCTCAGAAGAAACGACGTCGGCTCTTGTGAACCGAGGGAGGAAGAAACTGCAATTTCGGCGTTGAGGAAACCAACGGTTTTGATAAGTGGGGTCCGCGATTGGTGCTCCTCGCGCGCGCGCCGACAGCCATGCGCCCTCACCCGCGCCGCTGCGCCTCGCCCTCACCACCGCGCCCGCCCGCCGGTAGCCCCGCAAGCTCGCTCGCCAGCCTCCAAGTGCTCACCCGCCGGCCACCACTTGTTCGCGCCACGCGCCCTCCCACGCCGCCGCGCTCATGTGTCGGCCACTCACACCGGAGGAGAGAGTGCATGGAGGGAGGGAGGGATAATGAAGAGAGAGAAAAGTCCGATATTTATTACATGAAGACACCTGTATTGTGTGAGAGAATTTCTATAGATAGTTTTGTGCTGGCGTGGTTACCCTAGAAATCGTTTGAAATTTCGAGCATTGGGACTGCCCCAACTGTACTAATTGTTTTTGTGCATGATCACATATTCTCCTTAACGAGCCGCATTGCCTAGTATGCACGGAACTCAATTATTATTTTGAAATACATTGGTAAAGCTTTGTGTATGTTGATATATGATCGCTTGTTTTTTAGTAAAAGATTATTGCCAGATGGATTTTGCTATTGTAACATATAAACAGTAAATAGTACATACGCAGAAGACGCTTATAAACACACAGGCACGCTCCCTTTTACGAAGGTCAACAAAAAACCTATGCCAACTGTGAGATTAACGAAGTCAATCTTGTGCCCTGTTATTGAATATTCCATCAGTGTGTTTAGAGATGTTGTATTGTAACATCCTTTTTCCTTACCAAGTTTGGATGTTAACAATGGTATGGTATCATAAGCTTGTACTTACATCTTCACGTGCCCAACTAGAGCCTAGAGGAGAGGCTGGAATATAGGTGTGTTTAGTTGGGATCCCGAGTCTCTTTTGTCTAGGAGGTAGGTTGTCTGGATGCTGCCTGGATGACATTGGATGCAACCCTGGAACATTGCCTACACCAGGCAGCGTTTCAAAGTCCAGGCAAGCAAATTCGTATGCCTAGGTGCACCTGGTTTGCCTGGCGTGCAATCAAGTGCTGTTCTAGTATTCTACTATTGATTAGTTGAAGAATTATCTATCAATGTACTATACCATTTTTTTTAGTGTTGCTTGAAAACTGTTACCGCTACTACTAGAAGGGTTACCGTGTTACTGCTAAAAAGATTTCCTATCCGATAATAAGACATTAAATTGCTGCTTCTCCTTTCGCTGATATCATTGTTTATTTTATGCTTTATTATGTTATGGTTTTTTATTATTTATTTAAACCCTTTATTTGTCTTAATGTATTATTTAAACAACATATGTTGCATTTTTATTAGACAAGAAAGCAGACTTTATCTACACATTTGTTTTCTCGGACCCAGGCACCCCCAAACACATCTTCTTTACACTTGCTTGGCCAGGCAAATATCATCAACTAATTTCTAGACAACGCCTAGTCAATACTCTTTGCCATTCAAGTTAGGGGGTGTTTGGTTCGAGCTACTAAATTTTAATAGCTACTAAATGGTTTAGTCACTTTTAGTAACTCCAGAGTTACTAGAGAGGGCTAAAGTCCTTAAAGCAGCTTTTAGTCATAGCGTTTGGTTAAAAAATTACTAAAATGACTAAAAACTACTAAATTTAGTAGCTACTAGGCGAACCAAACAGCCCTTATCCATGCCTCCAACCATACAAGCCCTGTATGGTTTGCTTTGGTCCTCTGAACTGGGCTGCCTCTGCACCGCTGAAATGTTCGTTTATGCATTTGCTGTGTGATCGATGTCCATGTAGCTTAAGCATTGGCAAACCTGGGTCTTGATCTACTCATCTACATACAAACATACACGGGTGAAAAGCACTGTTGAACACCTAGACGGTGATGTCGCAATCAAATCAACCGCGAGATCCTTGTGCTAATGTATTTCCTTGCGTCGTCAAAAACCACTCTGTAACCCTCCTGTCCTGTGTAGCAAGCAAACAAGCCATCCGATGGAATGTGCGGCTGTACTTTGCCGGCCGCCTGAAACGCCTTTGTTGGTAGCTCGGGCCTTTCGCCCGTTCCGGCTGCTCGCATCCACCAGAAGACCCCGCCGTGCAGGGGGTCGCTTACTAGGACGGATCGAACAGCATGCGTGTCTCCTCGCGTCGTCTTCTCTTGTGGTGCCAAATGGACCGTGGGGCGCCTCCTTGCCCGAAAGGCACGCGGACGTGTTCCTCGGTCTCGGATACATTTTCGCATCGGCCATCGGAGACCTTGGGCCCGCGAAGGGGTGAAAAAACCCGCCGGCCCGGCGGTTGAAACGGCGCCACGGCGGGACACGACAGGTGCCCGGGCAGCTCAGCCATAATGCTGCACCTTGGATGGATCTCAGTGAGACGATGAGACCGCATTGTTTACTTCACTGCCATTTCCAAACGGTTACTCCTCCTGCAGACTTGCAATGATTCCTGCGAAACAAGCTGCCGGCACTGTTTTGGCTGCGGAGGAGGAAGGATCACTTCTGTGAAGCACGAAACATCCTGACGGGCCACTGGGCTACCTGTCGGCTTCTTCGCTTTCATGATTTTGCTGCAGGCAAGCAGGGGCCGGAGCCCAGTTTCGCCTCTACTGAACATCACGCGTCACGCGTCGCTCGTCGCCCAGTTTCGCCTCTACCTGTCATGCATCCACCCGCTCGTGGCCTTCTTTCTGGTTCACCCCGGCCCCGCCGGAGAGCCATCCTGGTCTTGGTAATACTACAATCACTTCATCACTGGCAGGAGGGCCCCCATCACTTCATCACTTGCGCTGTCAGCATCGCCTGGATGGAAAACACGGTAGCGGTAGGTGGTTGCCTGGTTGCCGATCGACTCCCCATTTCGTATCAATTTAAACTGAGGAAAACTCTGTAAATGATGACTGTGTCCCAAGGTTCCTTCTCGCTAGACGAAGAGACCGAATCGTGTCCATCGACGAATTCCTACATAAAGCAGTGCCTATAGACTCCTCTAAGCAAGGGCCATAAAGGATTTGATAGTCACACCACTACTATTGAATCAGACTCAGTACAGTGCATGCTTCTTCAGAGGTCACTGAATGCACAATCATCACTAGCTAGGAGAGCAACAGGCTCCAGCAGCTAGCGGCTTCGTAAACCGATCGAACAGGTCATGCACGTGCTCACCAATTCGACATGGATGGTTTATTTGTGCGAACTCATGAGCTTATGCCTTGTTTAGATCACCTCCAAATTCCAAGTTTTTTCACTCTCTCTTCATCACATCAATTTTTGGACGCATACATGGAGCATTAAATGTAGGTAAAAAAAAACTAATTACACAGTTTAGTTGTAAATCACGAGATGGATCTTTTGAGCCCAGTTAGTCCATGATCGGACAAAATTTATCAAATACAAATGAAACGTGCTACAGTGTCTAGGTTGCAAAAATTTGCAATCTAAACAAGGCCTTATTTGGCATGTTCGCTTGGCTGATAAGTTATGGCTGAAAATACTGTTGCCTAATTTATTATGAAAGAAAAATATTATTCGTTAATTGAAAACAAACGAACGTCTTATAAGTCAAGTCAACAAGGTGATTCCTCGCTCCTGGCCCCACCAGGGCCTCCGGTGGCTAGCCTCGGCCCTTCTCGGAGGCACAACTCGAGTACATCTTTTATGTCGCTGTAGCTAGCCTGTCGGCGTCCTCGCAATGTAATGATTCCGCCTAAGCTATCAATCTCTCATGGACGTATATTGCCATGAATCTGAAGAGGATCTCGATAATTCTTAGAATATGCCGGTCCTCCCTTCGCAACAACTTGAGCGTAGGAGAGGTCCACATGGAAATTGGTTAGGTTTCTTTTATATATATATATATATATATATATATATATATATATAATGAAAAATGTTCAACCTAAGTTTACATGTGCTCGTGTTTTATCTAGTTATTGTCCTTTAAATTATGGACCACGTGTCTATTTATAGAAGGACACGCGTCATAACTTTGCCAACTTGAAGACTAGCCTTTAAATGTGTCGACGTCTCCAACAGCACGACCTAGCACAACCTCTAAACTAAAATGCTGTGAGAGAGGAATGCATCGTAAAATTTACGAGACTATCTTTTAAATTGACGCTAGTCTCTTGTTTTTTACACTATTAATGATTATTAAAAAAATCACGAGAACTAGCACTCAGTTAGAACGTTTGTATAGAGCTTAAAGATCGACATAAATGTTGGGACTGCCAACTGATTCGCAAAAAGAGAAATAAGGTAAAGAATGTTGAACTACACCGTCTCTACCAACCAGAAAAAAGATCGATCACTGGCGCGCGGCAGCGTGCAGCTCGTGCCGCCACTGTGCTAGCTAACCAGCAGACGACGAAATTTGGCACGGTACTCGTATTTTTTCTAGATTTATTATAAGATTTAACGGCGCTATATTTTCAGCGGCAGATGATGTCTCTGTCGACAGCGAGGCGTATATGGTGACTTCGTAAATCTCGTGATCTGCCGGCTCAGACATTCGGAGGTGCTCGTAGAGGTAGGGTTTGCGTACGTATGTTTATAGAGATGAGCGTGCATGCATATTGTTGGCGTCTTTGTTGTACCGTGCAATTTCTAAAAAAAAAAACTGTGTTTGTACTCAGTACTCTTGTTAGCACGATGGTCAGCACACATGATTGATGATTCACCCGCGTAATAAACATGCTCAAAGGAGAAAATGGCGAACCTACTTATTGCGTACTGCACGGGCACAGGTGCAGCAGTGCGTGCAGGGTGGCTGGATCAGACGATGGCGACGTCGCGAGGCCGGTCGGGCCGCGCGCGAGGTTGTTGCGGTTAACCAGGGGCGGCCGGCCCATGTGGCGCGCCGCGCGCGGGCCCCTTGTCCGTCCTCGCGCGAGGCAGACGCGTCGGTCGGCTTTCCATCTCCTTTTCGAACTCTCCATCGCCTAACCGCACGAGGAGCAGCGCTTCCGCGGCGCCGCTGCCGACGGGCCTGCAGGTTTTGATTCGCCTTGTACAGCAGGGCGCAGGCTGAGGGGAGGGGGCGGAGCGCGGGCCCGCCCTGAACGGTGCTTAATTTTCGGCAGCGCGCGGCGACTGCCGGGCAGATGATAAATAACGGGAGGAGCACAGGGCGGCGCGCGCCGCCGGGAATGTCGCGCGGTCGCGCCGACGGACGGCCCGCCCGGCACAGCCGAATGGCAGGCGGGAAGAAGCACCGCTGTCTGCCACTGCCGCCTGCTCGGTTCCGCGGGCCTGTGGTGTCGCGGCCTTCGTTCCCCGTCAGTGCGGCGGCCCCGTCGGCAGAGCACGAGCAGCATGATCCCCGTGCACTGCGTTGCAAATTGCAATGCAGGCTCAGGCTCTGCAGTCTGCACAGCCCTCGGAAGGAATGCTCCTTCCGGACCTTTTTCGGCCGCCACGTTGGTACATCCAGATCCAATGAGGATGTGTCTGTGTTTGCTTGGCTAAACAAACTCTTACCAATAACCTTTTGTCAGATGTTTTAAAAGATTAAAGACATTGTCTATGATTTTAAAACCGTGTCAAGTATTTACCAATAATTTTAACTACCAAAAAAAAAAAGACAAAACCACCTTCGAAACCTCTCCAAACCATGCTGGGTTGGTAATTTGAACGGTTTTGAGAGTTTCATGGGTAAAATTTTGAATTTTAGAAAAATCATACTACTGCAATTGTCCATGATATAAAATATACTTTTTCCGAACCAAACATACCCTGTGATTCAAGAGGACGAAAGCCCAACCGAAAAACGATTCGCTGGACCAAAGCCCATCCAAGCAATTGTCGCTCTGGGTATCCTCCGACTATCCTGAATTCAGGTTCAGAATTCCGTATTTCTGTCTTTCGAAATTGTGACGAGTTTTTTTAGGGTAAAAAGTAAAGTCGGTATCGTCCTAGTTAAAAAAAAAAAATCGGTATCGTCCTCCGTGCATTGCTATATACTCCTATGTATTATACGTAATTTCGAGATCCCCTACATTTTGGTTGTCTTTGCTTCCCTAACAACCCGTCCCTTTCTCTCACCTTCTGCATCATCGAAACACATGTACTTGCAGTAGTGAAAAAAAAAATAGGCAGGTAAAGTTATCGATGAACTGGATCAAATATTCGAAGAAAGTCTAACGGTCCCATGCCCCGTGCCTCCACCTCACTGTAAACTCCCCCCGTGGTGAAAAAACAGAAACGCAAGTCTGAGAAGGTTTCAGAGTTAAGAGCCAGCGATGGACATTTGTACTGTAAGCCGTGGTAAGCAGGCCACTGGCATGATCGTCACGCAACCACGTGCGATCGCGACTGCGTTCCACACTTCCTCCTCAAAAGATTCAGATCCAGCGAAAATGGGCGACATAGCGGTGGAGGGGAAGCCTGTTTCGGCTGTTTGAGATGCAGTAAAGCACTATTTCTGTTCAAGCAAATCCTTAGTAAAAGTCAGCATCTCGCTTCGTAAAAGTGTAATTATTCACTGCAGACGGTAAGGGTCATGTTCAATGCTACTGCACGACAGTCTGTATCCATGGCTGCAACTCATATTTGGTCCGAACCCTAGCGATGGAACCGGTAACAGTAACACATCGGAATTTGATTGCTCTTCCTCTGAAGCAGCAATTAGCACTTTAGCAGCAGCAGCTGCCGTGCAGGGGATTTCTTCCATCTTCGTTCTTCAGCTCTCGACCAACCAAACCTTAGCATCTGAAGAAAAGGTAGCCACTCCAAAAGAGGATGTGGTTTCTCAGATTGGTGAATTGTTCAGGGGAGTTCAGCATTTTCTCAAAAAGAAGACTTAAGGCACTAGTGATGAGGAGCTTCAGCTTCTCATCATGAAGTAGACTTCAGAGAAAAAGAAGCCACACAACGTTCAAGGTGCTCATGCTTCTGCTAAGTCGAAGCACTGAAGGTGATTTTTCAAGCATGAAGTAGGTTTCGGGATCAAGCTTCAGACTTCAGAGCGTGGATCAAGCTTATGATCGCTCTGGGTTCAGAACCTAACACTTTTAATTTTTCACCCCAGAAAACTAGGACCCTTCCGACAAATTTCTCTGATGGGGCTATTCAGCCCTGTCGTCCTCGTCTCTAACTCTAATTTTCTAACACGGCCATACCAAGATACTCTATTTACAAAGTGTTGATTGCCAGTGATGACATAATAATAGACCAACAGCAAGACATAATGAGGTGCTAGCAAGGCAAGCGAAAGAAGAGCCTTTGCTCGTCCCCAAGAGGCATATGACCCCTTGCTCGCCAAAACCTGAGTGAATCTGAATCCCCAAAGGCCACAACGTTTCACCAATTAAACTAGCTTCAGCGTTCATTAAGAAAGCAACTTATGTGATACCAGACCAACTGCAGGCATAAGAAATTTTAAAGGACACTGCAACACTGCCAATCCCCAATTAAACTAGATAGATAACCATAGCAACTAACTACAGTGCAGAAATATAAAAAACGTAGTATTTGTTTGGCATGGTGAGTAAAGAATGGTGAGCATCGCAGCCTGAACCTTCAAATCAAAATGGAGCCGTTTATACTGCGGCTGTGCGGTCCCTTCTCTTTGATAAGAACACTGAACACACTGAACGCCTGTGATAGTAGTTTTACTATGCAAATGAGCAATTCTCAGACAAGAGTAGCATACCATGGCAAGTCGTGAAACAGAGGGTGTCCACAATTGTAGGAAACTATACGTATACTGACATGTTCGCAAGAAACTTGCATCTCTGCAGTGCACTAGTAACAGCGCCGATCACAACACAACAGTGGCGGCAGGAACAAGCCACCGTTGCCGTCACGATTATTCAGAAACAAAAAAACTAACTTTTTGCCGGAAGAGAGACGAACCCAACAACCATGGCGTGGCAAATTCAGAGCGCGTTGAGCATGTCCTCGGCGCTGCTGTTGGTGAACGCGCCGCCCTCCTCGAGGTTGAGCACCTTGACCACCCCATCCTCCGCGAGCAGCGCGTAGCGCCGGGACCGGACGCCGAGCCCGACGGGCTTGTCGGAGAGGTCGAGCTCGACGCCCATGGCGCGTGCCAGCTCCCCGTTGCCGTCCGAGAGCAGCAGCACCTCGTCGCCGACCCCGAGGCTCTCCTTCCACGCGCGCATCACGAAGGCGTCGTTGACGGAGACGCAGGCCACGGTGTCGACGCCCTTGGCGCGGAGCTCCTCGGCCTTGGCCACGAACCCCGGGAGGTGCTTCTGGGTGCAGGTGGGCGTGAACGCGCCGGGCACCGCGAAGAGCACCACCTTCTTCCCCGCGGTGAGGTCGCGGACCGTCACCGTCTTCAGCTCGCCGTCGGGGGTGTCGAAGTAGGAGAGCGTCGCGTCAGGGAGCCTGTCCCCGACCACGGTGGTCTTGGGGGGCGCCGACGCCGACGACGCCACGGCCCGGATTGGCGCGCCAAGGAATCCCCAGAGGGGGCCCGCGGCGGCGGCCAGGCGACGGGAGGCGAAGGAGAGCGAGGAGGAGGAGGAGGCGGGGTGCGAGAGGAGGATGCGCTTCCCGGCGGCGGCGGCCGTGGTGGCGGACAGAGCGGCGAGGGCGGTGGTTGCCATGGAGGCGGAGCGAGCGGGCGGCGATGCGGTCGAGGAAATTGCCTGCAGCTGGAGGTTTCTGTTTTGACTTTGGGGGGCGTGAGCCCTAGGATGTGGGGGATTTGGGGGTTGTTGGGGGTGCGATTGGCTGCGGGCGGCGGGGCTTGGCCGATGTGCGGGGAGGCTGCCAGGTTGGTGGGTTCGGGTGGTGCGTGGAACGAATGTGACGGCGGCGTGAGGACGACGCCGGCCGGCCGGGCACAGCAAGGTCTGCTCTGATGTTGCCATGTTGGTCTGGGCGCGATAGTGAGCCCAGTGTTCTTCGAGGTGTTGTTGGGCCCAAAATATGCCTCCGAATTGGGTTATACATTCGCTAATCCAGTAATCCATCTTAGGGGGTGTTGGTTTCTACCGCCCTCCTATGTTTATATCGAATATTTAGACACATATATAGAGTATTAAATATAAATTAATTATAAAACTAATTACATAACTTGTGACTATTTTACGAGACGAAATTTTTAAGCCTAATTAGTCCATGATTTAACAACGTGGTGCTACAGTAAACATGTGCTAATGACAGATTAATTAAGCTTAAAAAATCGTCTCGCAAATTAGCCTCTATCTATGTAATTGGTTTTGTAATTAATCTATATTAAATGCTCTTTATTAGTATTTAAATATTTAATGTGACATGAATTTTAGGAGCAACTAAAGAACCAAACACCCCCTTACTTTTTGGCTAATGAGAGACTTTTCACAAGAAAAAAAAATGCTCGGGAGACATTTCACAAGAAAAAAATGCTCTAAGAAGAGTTGTCAAACATCACCTTCAAGTAGACCGGTAGTTTTGTGCACATGTTCGCTTATGCTAAAATGCTGTGAGAGGAAAACACTATTCTAACTAGGCTTGCGCATACGGTTAATTTGATGAAATTGTTTTGGTTATATCGGTTATCAAGAATTTTGTTTTTGGAGAGTGTTAACTGAATTTGTTGTAAAAAAACTAATACATCACAAAAGTCTTAACTGAAGAGATCACAAATATTTTGGTTCACTGCCTTTTTTTTTATAAATCAGTTCGGTTAAATGGTTTTGGTGAATTTTTTTGCCACTCCTAACAGCAGCGGCTTTTCTTCGCAGCCGAACACAGGGCCACACATGACAAGTCTCAAATATCTCGGTGGTCAGGCTGACCCAATCCTCAAACTCAAATCCAAGCGCGCACAAAACCCCAAACCAAAGTGCCAAGGGCCTGTTCGTTTACTGAATTCTGGACGAATTTGAATGGTTTAAAAAAATACTAAAAAATTTATGAGAGAAAAACATAATTTCAAATAAAAAAATAAACGGATCAAGCGAGTTTAAGAGCACACGAACAAGAAAAAAAAAAAAACCAACCCACAACAACAGTCCAGCACGGCAGCCACGATATTTCGCGCCGCGCCTCGTCTCCGCGAAGCAACGCGGCCGCCGTGCCTCGCCTTGCCCACAAAACCATCAAGAAAAGCAGAGAAAATTAAATATAAACTTATTTATATAAAAAAAACAAAGAGGAGACGTCCCCCTATCCTCCCCTCCCCAGCGGCCATCCCACCCGCAATGGCCTCGGCCCCCTTCCCGCCCGTCGCGGCGTCGGCGGCCTCCGCGCCGCCGCGCCTGGCCCCGCGCCACCCCTTCGCCGCCGCCGCCGCCGCGCGCCGGCTCGTTCTCCCGCTCCGCTCCTCCGCCGTCGTCGCGGCTAACACCCTCCGCTGCGCGCACCGCCGCGCCGTCTCGCCCAGGTAGGTGACTGCTTCCGACCGTGCCGGCTCCAATTTGTATCCGTCCTGTCGGCGGGCTCGCGTCGCCACACCGCTGACTTCTCGTCGCCGTATTGCGTGCCTCGCAGGTCGAGGAGACGCGCGCAGGGGCTCGGCGCGGCGTCCGCGTTGGCTGAGTCGGTCTGGGGCGTCGGCGAGGGAAGGGCGCTTGTCTCTCGTGCTTCCCCAAGAGCAGGCGGGGCAGGTCGGGGCTCGCGAGGTTCGCGCCGTGCGCGCTCCCGCACGCCTCGGGACTATCGTTTCGCAGCCGGTTGAGCGGGTCCAAGGTTCGTTCTCATCTATTGCTGTAGAGGATCGACGGCTCGAGTGAATTACCAGATTTGGAATCAGGATGGATTGAGTGCCATAAGAAAGTGCTTAGTACCTTACTTCCATGGCTAGCTTTTCTTCGCTTGCTTGCTAAATGTGTGCGAGGGATACAACGGGTTTCCTAACTGTGTGTGAGGGATGCAACGGGCGTATCATCAGTTCAGAACAATAAATGCACGGATTGGAAATTCAACCTTTTTTTTTATCTGTCCTCGTCAGTACTACATTAAGTAGTACCACCGTGCTTTTTCTTGTCTTAAAAAAATTAAGGTCCCACATTCTGGATTTTATCAAAGGAGCAATCACAGTTGTTTTTGAATATCTGCTAGACTAACTGTTGAATTAACTTCAAAATTTAAACCTAGTGAGAGGTCCTGTGCAGTAGTACTGAGTATCAGTGTAACAAGCACCATTTTGCCAGGATAGTTTTCCATATCTCATCTATCTTGATGGTGCAGCTCAATCATGTTTGTTGTATTGGTAGTGTTATTTTGTTTCTGGGGCTGTCATATGTTTGTTCTGATGCACTTACTCCTATCATTTTATTAGAAAGATGAGTCTTTTTGTAAAAAAGAAGGAAACAGCAAGTTTACATTGCGTTGCAGAGTATAATCTGATCTCTTGTCCATGTCATCTTTTTGTCCTCTTAAAGGTCCCGTAGGATGTGGGCAGCCTTTTGCTGAATCATTTCCTTGATAATTTTCAGGTCAGGCCTAGCCATATATTGCGCGCCGCTGGACCTGATGAACCACATGTTGCAAGTCCAACATGGTCTGACACTTCCCTTGATACATCTGACATGGATCATGCTATTAGTAAGGAGGAGCTTGAAGATGTTCTCAACACTCCGCTTCCTGAGCATCCAAAACTAATTCGTGGCCAATTGAAGAATGGCCTTCGGTATCTTATTTTGCCAAATAAAGTTCCAGCAAACAGGTTAGGAAACTTTTTTCTTTCTCGTATCTATTAATTTTTATGACAAAGGACTTACTTTGTACAATTCCACCCTTAATAATTTCCATATAATGGTTGGAACTTTGATGGTTTTCTGTAATTTTTAATTTGAATCTTGGAGATACTTGAAAGTTGACAACTATGGGTGGAGTCTTGAACATCTGAACATCAGAACTGTGTAATAGTAAATAAATCAAGCAACAAATATTATCCTGATGCCCATTTCATGCTAAATTTTATGCTAACTGTGAAGCAACCAAACATTGCCATGATATGTGGAGAACATGTGTATTATGGTTTCAACTAGCTATTTTGCAGGTTTGAGGCTCACATGGAAGTTCACGTTGGATCAATTGATGAGGAGGAGGACGAGCAGGGAATTGCACATATGATTGAACATGTTGCGTTTCTTGGCAGTAAAAAACGTGAAAAGCTTTTGGGGACCGGTGCGAGGTCTAATGCATATACAGACTTCCACCATACGGTGTTTCATATCCACTCTCCAACTAAAACAAAGGTCTTTACTTTTCTATCTTTTATTCAATTCTTTGTGGAACTTATTACTGTCCATTTTGAAATTGGAAATAAACTTATGATAATTTGTATTTGTTGGAGTCCAATTTTGTTTTCTTGTTAGTTGTCCTTGGACAAAGATCACGCGTGAATGGACTGAATAATGTATTTGTTGACTGTGAAGTTATAATTTTTAGAACTTATGATCCTAGTTAGATGTGTTCCCTTGTGGTATTTAATGTTTACATCTTAGTTTGTCCTTTATTTTCAGGAATATGGTGAAGACTTACTCCCTTCTGTGTTGGATGCATTGAATGAGGTAAAGTGTTACTAAATAGCATTCCTTTTTGGAGCGATCATCTTGGAAATGTCAATTTTGGTCGTTTTATGAATATTTGAAATTCTGCATGTCCAATGAATATCTGAATTTTTAGGTCAATGTTGCCGAGGTGTTTGGAAATCTTCATAACAAATTCTTTCTATTGCAACACAGAATATGACAAGTCTGCTGTTCTATTTTTCCAGATAGCTTTTCATCCAAAGTTTTCTTCATCTCGTGTTGAGAAGGAGAGAAGAGCAATTCTTTCTGAGCTCCAGATGATGAACACAATAGAGTATCGCGTTGATTGCCAGGCAAGTGAACTGTTCACACCGACCTAGTGTCCTTTGTTTTGCCCATATGGGACTTCATTTTAGAAGGGCTATATCCTTATTGCTCCTGAAAACTCATGCTAAATCTATGTATGAGGGCGCCATATTGTTATGCTAATTATAATTTGTTTGCTGCAGTTGTTGCAACATCTGCACTCAGAAAACAAATTGAGCAACAGATTTCCTATTGGACTTGAAGAGCAAATACATAAATGGGACCCAGATAAGATCCGCAGATTTCACGAGCGCTGGTACTATCCTGCTAATGCCACTTTATATCTGGTGGGGGAAATTGATGATATTCCTAGAGCTGTGCGGGAAATAGGGGTAATGAGAAAATACACTGAAGAATTTTGATAATTTTGGCAGCCTCTAGGATCACATAGCAGGTTGATGGTTTGACTTGTTACAATGCAGGCTGTATTTGAACACACTCATTCAGAAAATGAAGGAAACCTTTTACCGAGCTCTAGTCCATTTGGTGCTATGGCAAGCCTTTTTGCACCAAAGCTCCCAGGTGGCTTTGCTGCAAACCTATCTGGTGAAAAATCACCTGCCACAGATAAAATAAAGCCTGTAAAAAGGGAAAGACAAGCCTTTAGACCACCTGTAGAGCATAAGTGGTCCCTTCCTGGTGTTGCTCAGGATGCCAAACCCCCAGCAATTTTTCAGCACGAGTTGATTCAGAGTTTCTCTATCAACATGTTCTGCAAGGTATGCTCAAATTTTATTTCTTCTAGTCTTAAGTGATGCTTTTGTGGTTAAAGTGTA